AAAAACAAGCAAAACAGAAAGAAAAGGGGTTCCAACCATCTCCAAGAAGAAAATAGAGCACCTTGAAAAATGTGAGTCCATGATCCTTTGTTTTTGAGAATCTCTTCATCCACAATTCATTTGTCCTCTGTTCACTGTTTGCCATGATGCCGACTCGATACTAGTGCTCTCGCCGAAGAAGCTATGAGATGACTTGTGCATCGGTTGACCTCGTAAGTTGCTAAATGATCTAGGAAGTCCTCTACCTACGATCTGGGTTGTTTGTTGCTATAAAGGTCTGGAGAGCTGCATTGGTTTGAGTTAGGTTTGCTTGGGGACAAGCAAACGGTTAAGTGTGGGGGAATTTGATAACGATGTAATTGCACGTATTTGCACCCCTAGTTCTTATCCGTTTGAGGGGCATAGTCGTGTATTTTTGGCCTATTTTACGCCGGGTTGTGCTATTTTGTCATGTTTCAGGTCCCAGGTGTCAAAGGAAAGGCTAAGCACGAGTTTCGGGGCATTCGGAAGTCATTTCGTCAAGCTGGAGCCAAAACACGGGCACACCTAAACCATTACACGGTCGTGTTCTGTGGCCGTGCTTTTACTGCCGAGAGCTAATTCGATTACACGGGCAGGGCTGAGAAATTACACGGCCGTGTTTCACCAAAGCACGGCCGTGTCCACCCAAAAGCACGGCCGTGTTTGCACCAACAAGCTGGCGTGTAATTAACCCTAGCCAAAACACGGGCGGGCTGAGGCATTACAGGGCCGTGCCCTCGACCGTGCTTTGGCCACTGATGCCCTTTTAAGCAGATTTTCAGCCAAAGAGAAGGGGATTCGAGTTTTGAGAGAGATAGAGCGATTCCTAGAGAGAGAAAGCGACGAACAAGAGTCTCCAAGTGCCCTAGATTGATCTTCAACACCATTGGAGGCCAGTTTGAGCTTGGAGAAGTGCCGATCAACGTCCAGGAGCAGGAATCCATCCTTCACGGAATGAATTCCGCGTCTGATTCTACTTTTGCTTCTTTCTCCATGGAGTAGTTCTCCCATTCATCTGGGTATGGAGAACCCTAGATTTGTATGTTAGGCTTTGATTGTATGAACCCAAATACTGATTCTATGATTTGATTATATTCGATTGAGGTTTGAATGATTGAATGACTTGAATCCTGATCAAATTCCTGTTGTTTCTGCTTTAACCTAGAATGAGAATATCTGCCTAGGTTGATAGAGCATCCTTGATTGAAGGTAGGGAGTTGGTGACTTTAGTCGAGGAGCCAACTCACTATTCTGTACCGGATTTACTCCGGTAGTGGAGGTTTTGTTTGTTAGGGCCTCAATCTGTTTACTCCGGTGGAGGTTAGTCGCCCGCTAGAGACTCAGATTGAGAGGGTCTGAAGACCTTTAGTCGAGACTTCAGGCTGTTTAAGAACCTTCCGCAGTATAACTATCATAGAAACTGAACTTGGTAATTACAATCCGGCTTAACTGGAGTGTAGGGGGAACCATATCCGGGTGACCTCTCTTAACCTGAATACAACAGTTTACTTGCTTTGTTAGTTTGATAGTTTAGACTTGCATTCCAGTTTCATTGCTAGATAACGAGAATTCACTGAGTAGTCATCAGATCTAGGACCCGGGTTGACATATAAACCTAACCCGCTATACTACGCTTTAGGAAGTGGTTTCACTTGGCCAATTCTTAGGGTGACAGTAGAAGTGAGTCAATGTTCGCACAACAACCTCCATTGATCACAAGCGAAAGTAATTTTCCGTTGAAAAAACATCGACTGTGAAATAAAAGGTCTCGTTGCTCGTCTGATTCTCGATGCTGAGCTGGAGTTTCTTGCCGCTTCTCTTGGCCACGAATCTGCAGATTCCTTGCCTCTCTTCTGCCTTCTTCCATCACGTTACCCTTGGCGAAATTAGCCATTGAAATTGAAGCACAAAACAGACACCAAAGAACACAATAGGGTCTGCTCAAAACCGGGGCTCGACTTCCCTGTTTTCGTCGAACTTCTAGCACAAAATCTGTCTTCAAACTGTCTCCTCTGCCTCTGGTTTTGAACCGGAGGCTCTGATACCACTTAATACGACCCTGGGGGTGTATATTTTCAAAGTCACGCAGCTAACGACTCAATTGAAGGATCGATTGAGCTCAAATCAAGAACGATGCATTCTTAATACGAACTTGGATAAAACGGAACCAGAAGTGCGATTCCACACCTGGGTAAAGGCTTGATTGGTATAATGATAGATGCCCGACCACGATCAACACGTTCTTGATCGATATAAGAGCTCAGCGAGCTTGCTTCTTCATCAAATAATTCTAACTTGAGAGTAGCCTATTTGAGATCATATCAAGTTGAATCCATAAGGCATCTCTTTTTGTGATTGTGATTATACTCGTGACTTTGTAAATGGAGTGATGAGAGTAGTTGTATCAGTGCCTGGTTCCCAGGAAGTTTTGTTGTGCTTTATGAGTGAAAGAGCCTATAATGGAGCTAATATTGGATTGGTTGAATGTTCACTGTAGTGCTGGTGCATTAGTTTTGTTTGGAAAAAAGTTGTATACATATCTTTGGGGGACGTTGCTTGGCCGCCAGGACTTTTAGGGGTCGTTTGCTTGTTGGATTTGGGTCATGGATTTGGTATCCAAATCCCAAGCTTGATGGATTTAACATAAGTCCATTGTTTGTTGAAGGGTGCTAAATCCGTGGGGTCCACGAATTTGGTCTTTATTTTGGAACCAAATCCGTGGACCCCACGGACTTGTAAATCCCACATATTGATTTGAAATTTGCAAATCCTTGATGGTTAGTTATTTATTTAACAAATCCATCATCAAATCTATCATGCAAACATTAGACTCTTCAAATCCATAATCCAATATATCCAACATAAATCCCAATGTTTTTATTGGCCAAAACCCTCATTTTTCAAATCCAACAAGCAAACGACCTTAGTGGATCTATTAAAGGATGAGGTGAGATTGTATGGGTGAATCAATGTAGAGTTTCATAACCCGCAACAAAAGACTCCTAGCCAACTACAAACATTGACAAATCATTATTTGCTATGACATTCGTATATTCGGTCATAGTTTCTCTCTCCCAAAGTTTATCATAAATACAAAACATGAGGATAGTAACAAATATACATGACATGAGAGAATCCATCCTACTACCAAATTAGCAGTGCTGTCAAAGCCGAACCGAGCCGGCCGGCCGGACCGCCAAAGCCGCCACCCGGCCGTAAAACCGGCTCGGATCAGCTATTTAACCGTCAGGTTTTATACAGCGGCCGGCGAGCGGCCGAAGCGGTTAACCGCTCGAGCCGCTCAAGCCGGTCGCGTGGTTCGGCCGTTTGGTTTACCCTAAAAAAAAATAGAAAAGGAATCGTGGAATTGGGCAGCCAAACAAAACCCTAACTTTTCTTTTATTTCTCCATCTTCGACCTAGAAGTAGAACAGACGACAGAGGGAGAGTGGCGCCACCCTGCCGCCGTCAACCATCGCCCCAGGCCCCCAGCGCTTCCGTCCCATCGCCGCAAGCAGCTCGCCGCCGCAAGCAGCGCGCCATCGCCAGTCGCCATCGCCGGTCGCCATCGCTAGTCGCCATCGTCGCTTCTGCTCCCCGCTCCCGGCGCAAGCAGCTCGCAATCGCCGCAAGCAGCGCCATCGCCAGTCGCCATCGTTGCTTCTGCTCCCCGCCATCGTCGCAAGTAGCCCCCTGCAGCCCTGCTCCTGCCGCAACATCTCCCCCAACCACTGTCCTGCTCCAGCCATCTCACCTCCACAGTCCGCAACATCTCCCACCAGCCGACTCACCTCCTGCTCGAGGTAAGTTAATTTTGTTAAACCTAATTGATGCAAATTTCTGGTTGATTGTAATGTTAATTTGCATGATTAAGAAGTGTCTACTATTACAGATGACTGTTTATTAGGTACCGGTTCTCAAACGGTTTTTAAACGGTCTAATGTCGGCTAGACCACTAATGACCAAGCCGTTCACGTTACCGGGTCATACTCCGGCTCGGCTTTGACAGCATTAGCCCATGAAATAGGTCGAGTCGATAATGAAAATGTCAGACTTAATTGCATAAGTGTTAAGTCACAATACATAATGTTTTGTGAATCTCAAAATACCCAAGCTATTGAAAACCGTAGATGTATCATAAAAAAATACTGCATATGTATAACTAGGGCTGGATAATTGTCCATAACTTTTTCTTTATCAATGGAAGAATTCTAGAACACTTTGAAATGACAAATAATTGGTCAATAGTGAATGATTTAGGGGATATAGAAAATGTTACAAATGATGGCTAGAAAGATCACACCTTCGCGAAACCCCCTGAATATTTTACAACCCACTTAAAGATGTGTTTGTTTTCAATTCCTACCCATTCACAACAACTACTATGAGTAGTTGCTCCAAATCCTATCGCACCACACATGTCTTTGTTCGATATGTGTCATTCATGTTAAGTGGGTTGGGTTCCTTAACATAATTACATTGTCATAAGTCTGGAAAGTGGGTTCCTTAACTCAAATGTGTTTGTCAGTTGGGCGCTTTATTCTGATCAATGGTTCAAATTACCTTACCAACAAGGGTATGGCCTAGAATTATAGATCTGGCCAATAATTGGGGGACCTAATTGGTCATAACAAAAAAACACAAGGACCTGTTCGCCGGCGCCCGTAAGCCTGCCGGAGAAAGACTGCACACTACTTTGGAAAATGGCGGTAACGAATGACGGCCGCTAACAATACTAATGAACAGTGTTTAATATTTTTTTATAACGGGGAGGATGAAGATTTGAAGAACAAGAAGGAAGCCGCTACCACGTCTATTCACCGCCGTTTGCCCTAACCAAATGCTCTCTCTCTCTCTCTCTCTACTGTCACTATTTCTCTGTCTCTGTTTCTGTCACACACTGTCTCTCTCTTCATAAAACCCCTCTCTCTGGTTTTTTCCCTTTCCATTTTCTTTCTCTGCCCTCTTATTAATAACGCCTTATAGTGTGCGAGTACTACTAGTAGTAGTCCTTCACGCCAATTGCCTGTTCACTGACCATCCTTTCCTCCCTCCATTCCATTCTCTCTCTGCGCCCCACACAATGACACTCTTCCTCCACACTTCGCTCTCCTTCTTCTTCGTCTCTTTCCCAACCATGGTAGTATTCCCCTGTTGACCCCTCCTCCTTCCACTCCACCTTCTTCTAGCCTCTGTTTTCCCGATTCCGGCGCTGTGCTTTCGTGGGTCGGTGGAGAAAGAAATGGACGGAAATGGGTTCTTCTTCATCGGGCGAGCGAAGCTTCTCTCCCGGCGTTTTCTGGTGCTCGGAGCTTTTCTGTTTCTGGTTCTCTGCCCTCACGCTTCCTCGCTCAACGACGAAGGTTTGTTTTTGTTCCTTCCTTTTTCTTCCGAGTCTGTCACTTTAACCGTCCCCTGTTTTTTGGGTTTCGCTTCCTTTTTGTCTCTCTGTTTTGGGGAGTGGTTTTTAATGATGCTTAAATGGCGGGTTTTGCAGGGAGAGCACTGATGGCGATCAAGGGTTCGTTCAGCAATGTGGTGAATGTTCTTTCCGACTGGGGCGATGTCCATAACGAGGATTTCTGCTCATGGCGTGGAGTATTGTGCGACAATCTCACACTCTCTGTTGTTTCTCTGTGAGCTTCTCCCTCATTTCCCCTGTTTTTTCAGCATTTTTCTTCTCCGGCTATGGTCGACCGTGAAGATTTTTAGGAACTTTCCCCTTTTGTTTGTCCCTTTAACTGCAGGAACTTGTCGAATTTGAACTTGGGCGGTGAGATTTCTCCTGCCATTGGGGACTTGAGGAACCTGCAGTCTCTGTAATCCCCTCCCCTACTTTCTTCATCTCTCTCTGTTTCAAGCCTCATTGCTCAACTTCAATACTCTGTTTTTTTCCAACGTTTGACGGAAGTCTTCCATTGACAGGGACCTTCAAGGAAACAAGCTGTCGGGTCAAATCCCAGATGAAGTCGGAAACTGTGGTTCCCTTTTTCATCTGTAGGCCTTCTTTCTTTGATGATAATCTTTCTTCACATTTGATTTCAGCTCGTCGGTAGCTCTCATGCTGTAAGTTTTCTTTTTTGCAGGGATCTATCCTTCAACTTGCTCTATGGAGATATCCCATTCTCCATATCTAAGCTGAAGGAGCTAGAATATCTGTACGTAACCTGCAATCTTTCTCTCCTGGGCTCTTACACACTCACCATCAACTCGGATTCTCTTATTTTCTCACCATCCCGTGAAATTGCAGGAACTTGAGGAACAATCAGCTCGTCGGCCCTATTCCTTCCACTCTGACGCAGATTCCTAATCTCAAAACCATGTCAGTTCTCTTCTTTACAACATTGTGTCGTGTTTTTTCTCGCTCGAAATTTCGCTAAATCGTTACCCTTCTGCCTCCATTTCCAGTGACCTTGCTCAGAATCAGCTCACCGGCGAGATACCCAGGTTAATCTACTGGAATGAAGTCCTGCAGTACCTGTAAGCTTCACGATAAACAGAGCACGGTTTACCCTTTTTATTTCTAACTTCGCCGGCGTGAGAACTCATGACTTTTGAACCTTGTGTACTATTAACAGTGGGTTGCGTAGTAATTTTCTGACTGGAACACTGTCCCCTGATATGTGCCAACTCACCGGCTTGTGGTACTTGTAAGCAATTTCAACCCTTCTCTTCGTTCAAATGGAATCTTCTTCTCCATTGATGGATCGGTAACATACTGCAATTTTTTGGTGTTTGTTTATTCAGTGATGTGAGATGCAACAATCTAACTGGAACCATCCCTGAAAGCATTGGCAACTGCACAAGCTTCGAGATACTGTAATTTTCTGGCCATGACTTGTGCTCTTCGTCTGGGTTTGGTGAAAATCACAGGGTTTCCTAATCTCAAAACAGAGTTATGTTTGAAATTGTTGCAGGGACATATCATACAACATGATCACAGGGGAGATTCCTTACAACGTTGGCTTCCTGCAAGTAGCTACTCTGTGAGTGTTCTTTCGCCCTTTCTTCAGCTCTGCCGGGGTTTCGGTTGCATCATTCATGGCTTTGTGGTGATTGTTTGTTGACTCATTTCGTGTTTGTTTTCGTACGAGTTTAGGTCACTGCAGGGTAACAGGCTCACTGGGAAGATTCCTGAGGTCATTGGTCTAATGCAAGCACTTGCTGTTCTGTAAGTGTTGCATTTCTACCAATCTTTATCTACATTGTTTTATCAGTTCCCTTTAACTCTTTTGATTGCTTTCCTTCTTCTATAGGGATTTGAGCGAGAACCAGTTAGTCGGACCGATCCCACCGATCCTTGGCAATTTGACTTACACGGGCAAATTGTAAGTTCTTGTGTTCTGTAGAATGTTACTTGAGCTCTGTTTCACGGTTTAATGATGTTGCTGTTTGGTGCAAAATTAGGTATCTCCATGGAAACAAACTCACTGGACCAATTCCTCCAGAACTTGGGAACATGTCCAAACTTAGTTACTTGTAAGAGTTCATTCACGTTCCAAGTTGTGCCTTGATTCTTGTTTTGGACAGTCAATGATTTTTGGTTAAGCAGTTGGGACATTTTGATATTTGCAGGCAACTGAATGACAATGAGTTGACTGGTGGCATTCCCCCTGAACTTGGCAAGCTGGAGCAATTGTTTGAATTGTAAGTGTGTTTCTTTTGCTAGTTGTGTACTTAATTCGTTGAGTTTCGATCAATTCATTGTTTTTTGTGGTATGTGCATCAGGAATCTTGCCAACAACAAGCTTGAAGGCTCCATTCCTCATAACATAAGCTACTGTACCGCATTGAACAAGTTGTATGTGTTTTAGGATATAGACGTCCTCCTTTCTTTGCTTATGTGCAATGCAAGTGGGTAATGGTTCCTAACAATTGGTGCTGTTTTCCATTTACAGCAATGTTCATGGCAATCACTTGAATGGAACAATCCCTCCAGGTTTCAGAAACTTGGGGAGCTTGACTTACCTGTAAGCTCCTATAGAATACAATTCACGACAGGTCAGAACTGTCTATTTTTCTGTACTCTGATCAATTTACTAATTATCTTCCAGGAATCTTTCGCGGAACAACTTCAAAGGAAAAGTTCCTTTCGAGCTTGGACGCATTGTCAACCTCGATACGCTGTAGGTTTTGTGAATTTGTAGCCCCATTTCGTATCTTGAACTTCTTCGAGTTGCGTCGGGGAAGAAGTCTTAGTTTTGCTGTGTTCTTTGGCTGTTTTAGGGATCTGTCAAGCAATAGCTTTTCTGGGCCTATACCAGCTTCGGTTGGAGATCTGGAGCACCTTCTGATACTGTAAGCACCCTAGACTTTTTGTTAGTTCTACCGTTTGGAGCTTCATCTAAACTAGTTTGGTCTCCAGGAACTTGAGCAAGAACCATCTTGGTGGACCATTGCCAGCTGAATTTGGTAACCTTCGCAGCATTCAGATCATGTAAGTTGTTAACCCATTGGCCCAACTCTTCTTATCGTTGTTCTGCAACTCATTGATGTTTTCTGGCTTCTTTTTTCTCTGCAGTGATGCTTCTTTCAACAATGTCACTGGAACCATTCCTATTGAACTTGGCCAGCTGCAAAATGTTGCTTCCTTGTGAGTATTAAATTTTCGTTTCGATATGCTTAGTCCTTATCTCTGCCAACCATCCTGTTAATCAACATTATCATTGTCAGGATTCTGAACAACAACAGCCTGCATGGACAGATTCCTGAACAACTTTGCAACTGTCTCAGCCTCACCAATCTGTAATCATCCTTCTAACTTCCTCTCCTTTGTCCTAAAGTCCTAAGCTTATGTAAATCAGTACTCTGAAACTGCCTTCGCTGTGTTACTAGGAACTTCTCTTATAACAACTTATCAGGGATCGTTCCACTGCTTCGAAACTTTTCTCGATTCCCAGCTGACAGGTATAACAGATCTTCCAATGTCTTCCTAATGATTACCCTCTTCCTAATATACTGAAAATCACCCCTTTTACTGATTCAGCTATGTGGGCAATCCATTGCTCTGCGGGAACTGGGTTGGCTCTATATGTGATCCTTACACCGTAAAATCGAAAGGTAACAGTTCTACCTTATCTTTTCACCATTACATTGATATATAAAACTTGCTCTGAACTTGGTATTTTTTCCCCAGCAATATTCACAATGCCTGCAGTTGTCTGCATAGTGCTGGGTGCCCTTGCTCTACTATCTGTGGTCGCAGTTGCTATCTACAAATCCAAGCAACAGAACCTGTTGGATGATGCCACCAACAATTCATTGCAAGGTTTTAGTTATATTCTTGAGTATATCTGCAAACCATCATTTCCCCCTTTTTGTTTCCAACGTCCATTCCTGTTTTGTTCTCCATTGTTCAGGCCCCCCAAAACTAGTAGTGCTTCACATGGACATGGCATTCCACACCTTCGACGACATACTGAGCTACACCGAGAACTTCAATGAGAAATTCATCATTGGCCGTGGAGCTTCTGGCACAGTGTTCAAATGCGTGCTGAAAAATTCTCGGCCCCTCGCAATCAAGCGACTCTACAACCACAAGTACCCCTACAACCTTCGTGAGTTTCAAACCGAGCTCGAGACCATTGGCAGCATTCGTCACAGAAACATTGTCTCTCTCCATGCATACGCATTGTCACCTTCTGGCAACCTCCTCTTCTACGACTACATGGAGAACGGCTCTCTCTACGACCTCCTTCATGGCACTGCAAAGAAGGTGAAGCTCGATTGGGATACACGTATCAAAATCGCAGTTGGCACTGCTCAGGGACTTGCTTATCTTCACCATGACTGCAACCCCAGAATCATCCACAGGGACGTTAAGTCGTCAAACATTCTTCTCGACGAGAACTTCGAAGCTCATCTCGCTGATTTCGGTATTGCGAAATGCCTCCCGACGGCGAAATCTCATGCATCGACGTTGGTTCTCGGCACTATCGGGTACATTGACCCTGACTACGCGAGAACTTCTCGTCTGAATGAGAAGTCCGATGTCTACAGCTTTGGCATCGTTCTTCTGGAGCTTCTCACTGGGAAGAAGGCTGTGGATAACGACTCCAACTTGCAACAACTGGTAACTGTTTGGTATTATTAAGATGCTAGTTAATTACTTAATTGTTACTGGAGTGACTAGTTAGTGATTTTGTTTGGGTTTTGGTCTTCAGATCATGTCCAAGGCTGATGACAACACGATAATGGAGGCTGTGGACTCTGAAGTTTCAGTAACTTGCATGGATGTAAGCCATCTCAGGAAGACACTGCAACTGGCTCTGCTTTGTACGAAGACAAACCCTTCCGAGAGGCCGACAATGCATGAAGTTGTGAGGGTGTTGGTCTCATTTCTGCCACCTCCGCCGATGAAGGGCTGCTCGCTCTCGTCGAAGGATATTGACTACTCGAAGTTCCTTGCGGAGAAAGGCGAGAAGCAACGTGGTGGATCTGTTCTACAACAGCAGCCGCAGCAGTTGCAGCAAGAGAACAACTCGTCTGATGGTCAGTGGTTTGTTAGGTTCAGAGAAGCTATATCTAAGAATACGTTTTAGTTAGTTTGCTTAAAGTAGTTTAGGGTATAACCAAGCCAGTCGAACGTTTGGTTTTTAAACTAGGGAGGAGAAAGTAAGTGAATAGTGCCCAAATTTTGGCTTTCGGAAAGGTATGATGTTGATTCATGGGTTCTGTACTTCGACCCTGGTTTTAGGCTGGGAACCAGCCTCGGGTATTTTGGTTTTTGTAGTTGGGTGGACCGTGGCGTCTGAACTGGTTTGGTTTTTGGTAGGTTCAATTATCTTATACAGGCAGTTGTAGAAACTTACTTTGAAGCCTGTTGAAATTTACACTTGGTATTAACTTGTGAACAAAATGGCCACCAGCTTACATTGAACCTTTACAGATACTCGCCCAGCCACTGAGCTAATGGCTTTAGCAGTGAAGTAATTACATGCTTAGCTGCTTGTTCACATCTGTTTGTGTTGAAAATGGAAAGTGCTGTGAAAGAATTCACTGCCACTGAAGAAAGCTACATCCTGAAGCGACTGATGTATTCAAGCCATTTCAGGATTCCTACACTTAATGAACTGCAAAACAGATAGCAGGAGAGTCCCCTGGAATCCTTTTGTCGATGGAGCTAATCTTTTGTTACTGTGTTAGTGAATTAGCATGCTCCTATTCCGGGGAAAACAAGTATTCTAATGTTAGGAGAGGGTTAGAAGAATCCAGCAGGAGATCAAATTTTTTGTGTATGTATCAAAGAGGTACTAACCTGTTATTGTTCATCTGGTATCCAAGTGAGGAGGCAGTGGTGTTTTCATTTCCACAATGGTGAAGAATCACAGGTCCAGGCCAATGCGGTTTCACCTAGTACAGCCAGTTGGAGATTTCATGAGTTTAATGGCCAGTGCAGAAGCAAGAAATATTTGCAGGTGAAACTCACCAACCATGGGAAGCAAGTGTACCTCGTTCTCTTGATTCAAGTCATTCGGTGTGTTCTCTTTTGAGACCTTTGATGTGAAAAAAAAGGCAGGTAGACACTTGTTAGCGTATCTACTACTTATATGCTGTTTGAAATTGGACTGAAGGGTTTGAGAGAAGTAAACCTCAGGTTGAGGATGCACTTTGGTCTCATGTCTGGTTGTAGAATGAGGTTGAGACGCTAGGGAGAGCTGGTATACATCAAGAGTGGAACAGTAAGTAAGTCCAAATTGTTTTGAATTTGCTAAGATGAAACTGAATGGAGTGAACCTAAGCAGAATCTGAATGGAATGAACCTGCTTAAGTGCATCCACTGGTGGCTCATCCAGGAACCTCCTTTTGTCCGTGCCCTTTGATTCCTGAAGTTGGTGGAGAGTCCACACCGATCAAATGTGACAAAATTGAACTATAAGGCCATACATAATAGTGAATTTGTTGCAGGCTACCTTTGTTTTCAGAGGTCGAGTTCTCCCAGGTTGCTCCTGTTTGTCTCTCAATGGTGGACCACTGCATCAAAGGAAATGAACTCTGTCGAAGATCCGACTGTTCAGAACTTTTTGTTATTACTGCAGTTTTCAATCTAACCTTGTCAGATCTATTTTATCCTTTTCAGACGAAGATTTCGAACGGGGTAGCTTTACTCCCTGCAACAGAAAGCTTAGTCTGCTCAGGTTTGCAACCAGACCAACTGAACATCAAGAAGGTTGTAAACGCCTTCCTAGTCTAGAATTGTTATTTGAGATGCATGGTTGAAAACCATGTATGCAACTTACTTGAAGTTCTGGCAGCTGCCGTGCGGACTTCCTTGGTATTGGCAAGGAAGGAACCTTGTAAATCTGCCAAACAAGGAAAGCGTTGTGCTAAAGATCAGAGACTGTATAAATTTAAGAGGGAAATGACTGAGAACTCAAGTGCCGTAGTCTGTAGCTGAATGTAGAGACCTTTCCATTCAATGGTCTTGTTTTGGCAGGAGAAGTACTGGGTTTTGCACATTTTTCAAACTCCGATTTAGTTTTGGACCTGACGATTTTCAGAGAGACAGGCATCTCAGTGATAATAAAACCGTAAAATGAAGGTGCCTGCAAGGTTGAACAACATTACCTCCATAGCTCTGCTCTACCAGCTGTTGCTAGATTTGGCTGCACAGGAACTGTAGCTCTAGGTCTACTAGAGGCCTTGTTAACATCCTGAGAACCCATTACCAACCACTGAGCAAAATGATGAAATGTAACACAGAAATGACGAAATGTACGAATTCTGGAACTAACAAACCTTTGGATTTGATTCTTTGTGGTGGAGAAGAGCTCGATGCTTCAATCGTGCAGCCTGAAACAACATCGAGATCAAAACCATTGTCGCTCATGGTTCGAGCCCAAACAACTAGCAACAAACAAAGAAGAACCTAGAAAATTGAAGAAAGAAAAACAACCCTTGTGCTACCTTGCGCAAGTAACCAGCCTCGAGCTTTTGCCTTTTGGTTGCTGGGACGCCACTGGTAGATGAACTACGCGAACTGTTCACCTCTCTTGTGGCGTCCTTTGGAAACCTTACCAAATCAGGAATCATCATTAATCAGCATGAACTTAAATCAGAAATTATAGGTCAACAATGATTAGACTAGAAGATTAGCAAAACCCACACCTTCTGAGCAATCGTTCGCACTGTATCTGCTCAGGGGCTAATTTCTTCGCCAAGTGACTAGCCGTAGGGTTCATGAAACTCGAACTTCTTGCCTTGGCCGGAGATTTAGCCGGCGATTTCGGTTCGCATTTGCAATCGCTCGGTTTTGATCCTGCAACATTTGCGAGACCAACGGCCAAATTTGAGCATAATTAAAGCATTTCAAAGTCCCTGGAAGAGAAAATTCCATCTATGAAATTCAAATTTACCTGGTTCATCGTTATCTTCGTCTTCTATAAAAGAGTTCGTACGGTCGGAACTGGAAGGATTGGTCTCTACCGGAGGAACCAGAGGTCTCCAGTACATCTTCAGAGCCAGCGCTGCGGAATTCAAATGTAGAGAGAAAAATTTACGACGAAAATTCGAATTAAGATTGAGAGAATTGTTGATCAAGAGATGAATTACGGGAAGGCGGATATCCTGCAGCGACGTCGAGCCATCCCTGAGCTTCGTCTGCGTCGGAATCGGGTTCCGGCTTCGTGAAATCGTGGAACTTAGGCGCATCGAACTCGTAATCGAGGTCGAACTCCTCGACTCCTGAGAACGGGTCGGAGAAGAATTCCTCCGCTTCCAGATCCTCCAATTCATCCATCTCCAACCGAGATTAAATAAAAAGGACGAAGGACGATCAAATTAAACCGGAGATCGCCGGCGTGGGAAGAAACCTGATACCAAAAGCTTCGGTTTCTTTCAAAATTCATTCGTCCATCGAACGCAGACGGAAGTTCCTTTTAATTTTCAGAGGAAACTTGAGTTTCTGGTATGGCCGGCCGGCGGGCGGCTCTGTTTTGTTTATTTTGCCTCCCTCTAGCTGGCAGAGAGAAAATGGCCCCCGGAGAAACAAGAAAACAATGGAGACGGTGAATCTGCTGACAATTGGAGAAAGGAAACAGACAGATAATTTCGGTTGGTTGGGATCGGAGAAATCAGAAAAGGGAATGCAGGCGAAGCCGCGAAGGAATGGAGGAGGCGGGAAAATGGAGGGAAGGGCGAAAGCCGTCACGTGAAGAAGGATCCAGCTTGAACATCTTGCTGACGTGGAACGTTCTGGTAGGCGCTGACCTGGAGGCCTGGGTCCTACTATGTGAAATGGCGGGTTATTTTTTAAAGCAAAATAGTCAAAACTTTCGTGTTTATAACAATAATATTTTTTGATAATGGTGATATTTATTAAAATAAACCAAAATCAAGAAGGAAAGAGTACAGATAAAACAAAACGAAAGAGAAACAATGGATCAAACAAGCTTGATCCCCGAGAAGGACGAAAGGAAAAGGAAAGGAAAAGGGAAGAAAAGAAAAGAAACTCCTGCAAGGAGGACCAGACCCTCTCTGCGGCCAGAAAAGGAAGAAAGAAAAGGCCTGCCAACACAAATGCAAGCCCAACACCTGAAACACCCTGGTCCCCAAAAACCACACAAACAAGCAAAACCAGCTAACTCAAATTTAACAAGAGGAGCAGCTGGAGTGACACACAAAGACCAACAGAAGAGGAAGATTTGAACTCCAGCAGCAAAGCAAGAGGGAACAGAGCCTCGGCAACAATCAAAGTACCCACAGTGGGCTGTCGCAACCACAAAAAGCCACGACACCAAGCTGGGCAGCAAACTCAGATTAACTGCAGAAGCTCCTCAATACAAAGTTGTCCTTGAGATTTGTCCATTTTACCACCAGCAACAGGCCACTCCACAGCGTTCCTAAAGGCTTTCCGAGCAACCACCTTAGCTTGTGCACAAACATCTCTAAAGATTCTGTTGTTGCGTTCAATCCAAATTTGCCAACACACTGCATGTAAAGCTCCAAAACGAATCCAACTCATCTCATTAGCCGGACAAGAGACTGGCCACCTGGAAATGGCTTCAAGAGTGTCCCTAACAGGTGCCTCAATACCTCCGCACGCCCTCGTCATCTTATCCCACACCTCCTTGTTGAAACCACAACGAACAAATATATGATCGATCGACACTTCTTCCATCCTGCACAGCTCACACCTATTCGCCATGGACATACCCCTTTTCTTTAGATTTTCGATAGTGAGGATGATCTTGTGGGCCACAAGCCAAACGAAGCAGCAGATTTTGGTCGGGACGATCGTCCTCCAAATGGAATCAGCAGGGAAATTAGTAGAGCCCTTGAAAATCTCCCCGACTAAGCACCTGTACATAGAATGAATAGAAAAAGAGCTATATGGGTTTGGTAACCAGATTGGCCTGGGCGGCCCAGAAGACAAAAGACCAATACCCCTCGAATTAAGCAGGTTAATCAAATATAATCTCTCCCTCTCAGCCCCCCCCCCCCCCCCCCCGAAGGTTATTATGTAAAGGAATCTGCCAAGAAATAATCTCACCTGAGGAGGATAAGGCGTCTGAGACCCAGGCATCCAGAGAGCTCGAGGCGGCAGCAACTCTAGGGAAGGTATCAGCAAGCACCACACCCGGAATCCAACTATCATGCCACAGGGAAACCCAAGCGCCATTACCTGGATTAATACTGGCCATTCTCCAAACACCATCATACTCCTTAGAGATGTTAGCCCAAACCGATCCCGAGAAGCCTTGTCTACTTCTCCTAGTGCGCCATTTTGAATTCGGGTTCAGATATTTAGTGGAAACCAGGCTTCTCCACCAGCTTCCTCTTTCTGTTGCATATCGCCAAAGCCACTTCCCTAGCAAAGCTTTATTAAAGAAGTCCAAATCCAAAATCCCTAGCCCCCCCTTTCGAAACAGGAGCTTTACACATTTCCCATCTTACCAGAGACATTTTCCGAGCTTCTCCCGTTCCACTCCAAAGAAACCTTCTTTGTATACTCTCCAATCTTTTTGTAATTGTGAGAGGGGCTTTGAAAAGAGAGAAATAGTACACCGGCTGGTTGGAAAGGACAGCTTTTAAGAGTGTCAATCTTCCCCCGAGAGATAAGTGTCTACCTTTCCATCCCTCAAGTAT